TTTTTTATGATTGTACTATCACAGTTTTGTATATTTAGGTCAACTGTGGACCCAGAGATAATGAGATTTCTGATGGAAGACTATTTTTCATACTTTATTCAGATAACAGCATCAGCAGTCTTCTTGATTTGTACTCCCAACTGCCCTCCAAACCCTAGGTGCAGGAAAAGAAGACTTAGGAAAGGTGAAGGTCAACATTGGGGGAATGTAGGTGTTCTTCACCTTCATGTTGGTGGCATGGGCATTTAGTGCTACATGGAAGAAAAGGCTGTTTCTTGACATGAAAAGCGGCACTTGGCTTTCCCTTTCATAAACGATGAAATCTGCCATGCACAGAGAACAGGAATTGTAGAAAACTAAAGGAGTTATGCTTTAGGATTTTATTTTAAGTTTTTAACAGTGAATGTTAAGTTGTGTTTTATAAATACAAAACAATACAAGTATCGCAGCCATATTATGGCTATTTTTTAAGAAAAGAAGGAGGAGGATCATGGGAGAAAAAGAAAGGTGAGAGAAATTGAGGACTCAGAAAAAGAATGGAACAAGTAAACTGCTACTACAGAAGGGAGAGAAAGGGCTTGGAGACCAAAGAGAAGCCTATAGCGGATTGTGATGGGAGAGAGACAGGAAAAGAAAAGAGGGAGATGGCTAGATTGACCTTGTGATATATTTAGTATTTTCGCCAGGTATAAGACTTGTAACACAACAGAAGTATTCTCCACATTTCTTGGGTTTTCGGTTGACTGAATTGATTAAAATGATATCATATCTGGGAGATGTTCTCTGACCAGTAGATGTAAAATGTCACCTCTCCACATTTTTTAACTTGCTCTATTCATTCTTCTTCATTATACTTAGTACTAATTGACATAAATTTATTTTTTGTTTCCCCTTCCCATTGTCAAGACTGTTAATCTCCATTGGGGCAGGGTTAGTATTTTTTACCACTGACTCTGTAATACCTTGGCTGTTCCAGACACAGACTAGACTTTCAGTAAGTATTTGCAGCACGATGTGATCAATTAATTGAAATACATATATGTCTATAACAATAAAGATAGAGCACAGGGCTGATTTTTGAGAATATTCAACTGAATGAGTGACTCAGCCTTTCTGGATCTTACTTTCTTCATCTATAAAATGAGAATAAAAATCATACACTACTTAGAGTTATTTTAAGGACTAAGATAATTTATGTAAAGAGGGGAGGGTATATTGCTTAGTGGTAGAGTGGGTTTCAATCCCCAGTACATCCATTAAACAAACAAACAAACAAACCTAATTATACCCTCAAAAATAAAGAAGAAAAAATATTTTTTAAAGTTTAACAAAAATTGAAACCGTTTTGTTTTTTTTAAAGAAGAAATCATTTGTGTAAAGCTCTTAAAAAGTTATGGACATTTAGTAAGCACTTGGCAGTTGTATTTTCCTTAGTCACTAAATTAAAATGAAAATCAGAGAAGCTAATTCTTTTCAGATCAAAAATTAAGAGAGAGAATATAAGCTTTTGATCTATTTGAATTCTACCCCAAGGGGTAATTTGGGGATTTAGAACAAAGATTACATTATTCAGGAATATCTCTTGACTGAGTATGATTTAAGTCATTATCTGTTCATGTTAGTAATCACTAAAGTGTGCATAACACTGGAGGGGAGATTCCTTGTAGCACATTATACAAGCATATGTAAACAGATCCCTCTTCATTGTGTAGCAAATATTAGTGCTAATGGCAAAATGGCACCTAACATATAAACCTTTTTTATTTCTTCAGTCAGGGGAGCGATATGAGTGCAAGAAGAACTGAATGCAAGCAGAAAGTGAAAATGAGAATCTGGCTAGAGAAGTTATGAAGTATGATGTCCAATCTGCCTGAGATGATTCATTAGTCTGTATATCCCACCCAAATCCTATCCATCTGATTTACTGCACATTGATTTATCAAAAGGTGATCATTACCTGAGTGGAAGAGCATAAACAAGGTGTTTTAGCTTTTTCATTGTATTTATATTTGAATTAAATAAATAGAATTTACTTCTGTTCCAGGCCTAATTACAGGAATTCATTATTTACGGTGGACTACCTACCTTTGCTGGGGAAAGCCTGAATGAAAGGATGGCAAGACATCTGTAAATGAGATGCTATAATTAATAAAATCTGTGGATAATTGGAATGCCTCATTCATTGTTGATTCAAATCCTTCTCCTAAGATCTCTCCCCCTTCTAGACATACAATTTATTTATTTTTTCGTTTTATTTTTTGGTATTAATTTCTCAGTAGATAAGGCCTAAGCACTATTTTGCCTTTGGTAACAATCTTGAATCAAACGAGTTAGTTTAGCTAAGCTGACATTTGAGAGGTCACCTTCTGTTGCCAAATCCTGTTTCCTGTACCCTGGTATCTAATCAAGGTTCAGAGACACAGAATTTTGGGGAAGAGGAAAGAATAGCTTTATTTCTTTGCCAGACAAAGGGGGTCACAGTGGGCTACTGCCTCAGGAGTGCGAAGCCGGTTTGGGGAAGAGTGGTAGGGAGTTTTATACTGAAAATCCAAGGAACAGTACTTGGAATATGACGCAGGGCTGCATTCCTTTCTTCTTTGATACAATCACAGTGGTGTACAGGGTAATCTGGTGACAAGGTCTTCTGTTCCTGGCAGTGAACAAGGCATATCTCCTGACATTCCTGTGCCTGGAACAAAGGAAAGGAAGGGGTGTATATGTTGGGAAAAGAAAAAATATGTGCAGTTAAACACACACACACACACACACACACACAGAGGCTCAAAAATGTCTCAGAGTGAGAAGTCATTTGAGGTTACCATTAAGTGACTATAACCACTGTGCCCACTGTGAGGTTGCACTTCAACATCCGAATTAAGGGGAACACAATATTTTGAAGCAGTTTCAAACTTAAGTGTACGCTAAAATCACCTGAAGGATTTTTTAAAAAGATCGCTTTGAGATCACTCTGAGGGCCCCACGTCACAGTGTTCTGATTCACTACAACTGGAGGAGGATCCAAACATTTGGATTTCTAAATTATGAAGGTGATGCTGATGCTGATGCTGATGCTGCCGGTCCAGGGATGACACTTGGAGAACTGTGCTTTAGGACATGGGGTTTCCCTGAGATGATACTACCAAACAGCTGCACAAAACCGAAAAAATACACTGAGGTTTAAACTGGAAGTGAGTACTGAAAATTAGCACCTCCTCCCCTGTGCGGCCATGCTGGGGTGCAAAGTACAAAGTGGGCCCTATACGCCCCGCCTCTGCCGGCTCCTAGTAACCACGGCCCACACGCCGACTCCCTCATTGGGCCGTTCTGCCACGCCCCTCCATGCCGGCTCCCTCATTGGGCCCTCCTGTCACGCCCCTCAATGCCGGCTCCCTCATTGGGGCGTCTCGCTCAGCCACGCGTCCCTCCGCTCCCCGCAGAGCCGCAAGCTACGTATACACAGGGTAACGCCATACGTGCTCCTCCCCTCCGGCCTGCAGTTTGAACCCGCGAGGTTTCCCTGTGGCCGCCCCTGCTAGTGCGCAGACTCTGCCGGCCCAGCCTCTCTCTTCCAGTAGCCACAGGACGCCGGAGAGTCCG